AAGAGCGAAATGAGTCAAGCAAAAGCAATGTATGTTTGGATCACCAATTTTCTTTCATGTTAATGTCAAGAAAATTTACTTTCAACTTTACTTAAGTCTTGCAAATCTATTTTTATCTTTCAAAGTCTTTCCGTTTTTATCATTTGTAAAACAAAGTGATTTCAAGTCGTGTCGAACTCACTTACATCCAAAACACTTATCACATCTTATCTCGAAAACAGTTTAAAATTGAAGCATTATTCTGAGATTCACTAGTCGATCTCGTAAACTAACCTTTAACAAGAGACTAGTATTACTTACCAATTTCTAGGGTAAACAAGTACATAAGCCATCATAGGAATATGGGGTCTGACATACTCAGTAGTATATAATATTTTAATTTGGAGCACTATTATCGTTTGTAATTTATTTTCACTTTATTATGGATTTCATTTGTATATTCCATTGTTATAGTATTTGATAAGTGTATGATTTTAATTTATATAAAATTTAATATGATAGTATAAGTATAATACATGCTAAATTACATTAGTGTATCTCTAAAATAAAGTCAAAATTTACTATTTAAGGTGAGTACAAATGTGCATCTTCGTGTTTGGTTTAGGGTGAATACGGAGATGCATCTCGAAAATAATTTATCTCAAAATGAATGTGTCTCAGTTATGGAAGCATGCGGTGCACATAGGGTGAATCTGAAAGTATATCTCCGAATTAAAGTATGAGAAAAAAAATAAATTGAGACCCACTTAAGATGTATTTTGATGTAAAAAGAGTGTGTCTAAAAATTCACTTTTGAATTTTAAAGGGCACTTTTTAATTTTCTAATGAAAGAAAACTGGAGATCCAAACATACATAGTCCAATAATTATCAATAAATTTTATATTTAGATAATAAAAGGCATCTCAAACATAATCTCCAAAAATTTAGTGAATACATGTGCGACCAACTTTAACGAGTACATACCAAGAGACTAATATACAAATACAATAATCTTTGGAGAATTTCTTTTTACACCTAGTACTCTTCTCCCCGCCCTCTGGCGAAAAATTCAAAATATCCCTAAGAATTCAGATATGCATATTCGAACGCACCACCAACCTTTTTTATTAAATTTACTTCGGATATGTATATCTGAATTCACCTGATGACCTATTTCGGATTTGAATATCCAAATTTATCTATGGGAAAGAATAATCAATATAATTCAACATAATTAATAACATTTATTCAACATAATTCAAATAAATTACATAAATAATTCTGTAAAAATTTAAAATTACATATTTTTATAAACGAGTAGTTGAGGACGTTGCAACATCTTGATAACATCTTTTGTCTATCTTTGAGGCTTCGCATCCACCTCAATCGGACCCTTAGAAGAGTATTATTGAAAAGTACCCTACATTACCTCTAAATCGTCTTCGTTCTTGAGCTCAAACGGGGTGAACTTTACGTTTCCTTCAATGTCAAGTGAAGGTGAACGATACTCAAGCATGACCATCTTTCGATCCTCTGGATATTACAAGAGAGAATGTTGTATGGTAATGAGTTCGGCGAACAACGTGTCCTGCGAGAACCTAAATTGAAATGGCGACTGTGCACCACTGAAGTAGACAAAAGCAAGGTGTGGATATGTTTGTGTCATTTCTGGTTGTGATTTGTGATGTAGAATGAAATGGTTTGGAGACCCTATTCATAGTCTTTTTAGAGAAATTTGGACCCAAGAAATCTTATCAGGACATATTTTGGATATGAACATCCGAAGTAACATTTTTAAACCAAAATAAGGGGTTTTCGAATTTGCACATCTAAAAACACCACGTTTTTTATAAAAATAGGAGGTGAATTCGGAAGTTCATATCCAAAATAAGCCATGTATTCTTTTTTTTAATTGAAGGTTAATTCGGAAGTGCATATCCGAATTATGCAAAACCAGAATCAGCATCATTATTTGTACCAAAGAGACATGGAAAAAAATAAACAGTTGTAAAACTAAATATAGATCATATGTTATATATGTTTTGAATCGTGTATATTTTACAATGTGTACGACAATACATTTAAAAAATGGTTTGATTATATTCTAAAATGCATTGAACAAATTGTCATCTCTTAAATCTAAAAATGGTTCTTTCTTTGACTTCTCCCTATTCGACTTCAAACTATCTGGCCCCGTCGTTTACACTCGCTTCGCTTCATGATAAATGAAATTCAATTCCGCCTGGGATATGTTATGAACCAACTATAAGTATAAAGCATTGTCTTTGAATCAGTGTTCTAATATAGTTTTGCTCCGTCCAAATGTTGTATGAATTTCATTGTGTTGGTTTTGGAGCATTTGATTCACTTTGTCTCATTCTCTACAAAGGTCTCCCTTGTTATCACCCAACCATTTCTTCAATACTGCATGTGCAGATTCCACTCTATTAGTTGTTGTGTTACCCAAATGTTTAACCTGGTCCGTCCAAGCACACACGACTTTCTCTTTCACCTGATTAAGGATAGTAGATTCAACGTACCTCAAGAAATTGGGATATTCGAAACACAAGTTCTTGAAGTGTGCCATATTCTCAATATACAACTCTTCTGTAGTAGAATTTAGAATATCAGTCCATGCATCCATTATCTTCTCAACCACAACATCGAATTTGATTATTTTTCCGTCTTCACCCTTTTTTCTTTGTTGCCAACTGTGAGTTTGAGTCGAGCTCTCACATTTTTTGTTATATGATACCGAGAAAGTAATGTGGTTGATGAAGGAAACACACTGCCAACCGCATTCATAAGGGTGTTATCTCGGTCGGTAATAATGACCTTAGGCATACTTTTTTTATCCTTCAACAAAGTCTTGCATATATCCAACGCCCAAGTGATGTTGTCTTCTTTTTCACATTCCAAAAAACCAAATCCAACCAAAAATGTCTTATCCGTGGAGTGACACCAACAATTTCTAGAAGCGGAAGCCTATACTTGTTGATCTTATACGTCGAATCAATCATAAAGACAGTTGGAAATGTGTTAAATAACTTGATACTTTCTGGATGAGTCCAAAAAATGTCATGAATGCTGACGTTGTCCTCACAAACTTTGTACCTGGAAATGTAGTGGTTGTCGTCCAAAATATTTTAATAAATGTTGCATTTCGGACCTCAGACCTCTTTGTGCAATGTGTTGTTTATAACAATAATTGTAAACTGACTTGACATTTGAAACACATTCTGATCTATTTGGTTTTAAACCAACAAGTATGTTTCTCGATACAACTTTGATTAACGATAATTCTGAAATAAATTTGTTTTCTACCTGCTTAAACCGACATACAATTGGATGCCCTTGTAGCTTGGTGTTCAACGCTTGATTATGCATACCGGACATCACATTATACTGCGAAGAAGCATCCACCCTACAATAATCGTACAATTTAAACAGACACTCACATTTCTCTGATTATGTGTCATCGTGTTTTATCTTCCGAAGTTTTAGAACATATTTTCAACTTCTCTCGCATGTCATCACAACAAATGGTTGCATTCTACTAGTGCCATTGTCGGACCTTTCAATCACAACGTTAAACCCAAGTTTGCTAGCTTCCATTCGAACACATTCAAGCATATGTTGACGAGAGGTGAAACTTTTATCATTTGTAAATCGTTGTCCAAAATCTATCACAACATCAATCGGTGTATCAATGTCCTTCATCTCATTCTTAGCATCTTCATTGACCTTGTCCGGAACCTTTACGACAGCTTTGAGAATATTGTCGGAGTGCACCTTACCTATCACGGCAAAAAAAAAACATAAATTCTTTTAAAACAGAATTTTGGTTCTATAACAGACATGTTTTCGGATATGCACATATGAATTTTGGTAGGTTGAATTCGGATATGCACACTTGAAACGACACTGTTTTTCTTCCATTGATCAACATCAATGCATGGAATGTATGATGAAATGATAAAAGTTTATCTCAAATTACAGCTTTCTATGCTCTCTTTTGCTACCCTTTCCATATTAGAATGCTACATGGTCACCAATTTCAACTATTTCATTCATTTTCTTTTTCCCCATAACCAAAACCCTCAACAAAAATTCAACATCAATGCATGGAATGTATGATGAAATGATAAAAGTTTATCTCAAATTACAGCTGAGATGTGCGTTCGAATGTTCATATCCAAAAAATATTTTTGAATTTTCAGTAATGCAAATCAACACTACTAGATGTAAAGAGAAATTCTCTAATCTTTGATTTTTAACTTCTTAGTTTTGTTTCAAAACTATCATTTATTCTAGGAAATCAAGTAAATAATGATATTTAACCATTTGTGCCCTTGGAAAACCAAAAGCATGAATTAAATGAATTTTACCTCTCCTTAATGAATTAATTTTATTATTTCTTGCACAAACATCATTAAAAAGAACAAAATTAGGAACGTGAGTATCAAGTAATGTATAGAACAGTCTCTGAAAATAAAGTGTTGTTTTCACAAATTAATTTAAGGAACCCAATGTTTCTCCTCTTTATCCTACCCAAAACCAAAATCCATATCTTTCCACAATTACAAATACAGTTTCTGCAGTTCACCATTACATTTAGTAGGTAAATTCAAAAAGTAGAGCAGGTTAATTACAAACAAAAATCTTAGAGCTCAAGTGGTGAATGAGTTTAACTTAAAAACAAATTATTTGAGAGAACTGCCATCCAATAACAGACATAAATACAACACTGTCGACAATAATGCATAGGCACAAACATGCAATAGTAGAAGGAAAGCCCTATCAAAGATGATTCAACAGTATTGTCCACTCTCCACTGATAAATAAATGAGAAATGCCATACAGAGAGCAATGTTACAGCTACTTCCATCAAACCATTTCAAAAATCCAGAAAATTTTAAAATTATTTATATAAAAAAAAAAAAAGTAAATTCATTCTCTAATTTACAAGGGCGGTAAGCAAAACCTCTGCAAGTAGGAAAATAAAAAAAACATTATGAGTTCAGTATGACTTCCCACAGTGTATCAAGCTTCCCGCACCCAAGAATATACCAAAAATAGCAGCACTTCCAAGTGTTGTTTGTCCAATATGCCTAATTTTCAAAAGTCCGGGTACCTGCATCTCAATGTATCAATTGATTGAAACGCTGCAACATATAATCTCTGACAGAATTAACACATTTTGACATCTAACATTACATTACATGACTCAGTATCAATTTAAAATATTTATGATGTGTTTTTTTGACAGTGCCAGTAAGTAGTATCTCTTATTTTTGGCCGAGGTGGAATTGGTATATCCTCTGAAGTAAGTGCACATGGTAAATTGGAGATAAGACTTTGCAAATCCATAACTAAGAGATTTTATTGAAGCCCAAAATGTAGTTTTTGCAACAACAAAAAACAGTGACATGCCGTTATTATGCCAAATTCACATCCAATACAAACATGCACTAAGAAAATCAATAGTAAGTTCTCAATCACAAATCCATAGATAGTTAATTATATTATAACAGAACATTCCATATGGGGATTGATGGCTTTTCAATATAAAATATTATTACGAGCAAATCGATCACAGAGGCATAGTAAACCAGATAATGGAACTCAAATTCCACGGATAGATCGTCAGAACAAACTAAGAGGGACTTGTCTATGAATAGAAATGGACAAGTTTTGAACTGCTAAACCTGTTGTTTTACATACATTGAGAAATAACAAGAAATTTTTAATATCTGGTTGCTATAGAAAGACTTAAATATTTCTAAGACAAATACATTCCTTTTGTTTACTTCTAATGCATAAAATTTAAAATTTAAAGAATCAGCATTCATGTTCGACCAGTAAACTTTGACACCACTACTCCAAGTCTCTAACGAATGTTGTCAATCATGACTCATAGAAAATACCAGTTTGTTCTAATTCCTCTGCACTACAATGCTATAACCACTATCTGACAACACTTTGTACTAAATTGCATATTGTGGGAAAATAGCAATTTGTTCACATTCCATTACACTATAGCCACTATTTGACAACAACCACGGGTTCAAAAATACAACTAGAGAACAAATCTGCGACGAGTTCATGAGTTAATAAGCCCATCTTCAGTTTCAAGAAGCCTGTCTAGTAAGTGGCACTGACACTAGATTCTTGCATTGTCTCTATGTAGAAACAAACTAATTCACTTGCAACTAATATTTGGTAGATTACGACACTGACATTGACACTGACACTGACACATTAACACTTGCAACTAATATTTGGTAGATTACGACACTGACATTGACACTGACACATTAACACCGACAATAATTTGAAAAAATGAATAAATTAAATGTAATCACAAGTTTTGGTGTCAGTCTCGGACACCGACACTGACGCACTGGGTGTCGGTGCTACATAGATGTTAACCAAATCCAACAATGAAACATATTACTAGTTTTTCATCAAAGCACTCAATGTATAGATTCTTACAAAACTTTACAATATTCTACAAAAGCCATTAATTTGTTTAAACAATCTCATTATTGAAGTTTAAAAAAAAGAAAAACAAGGCCATATGACGTACCTTATACCTAATAGCCTCATATGTTCCATAAACAGCCCCTGGAAAGAATCCAATATATTAGGTGATGACAATGTAGCAGTTTTGGAATTAAAAGCATAAACAAGAAATTGAAATAAAAAAACAAAAGGGTTTCTCAAATCAAATAAACCCTAACTCAATTTGCAAAGTATGGACAACTTCAATATAAACCCTATTGATTCCATTTCAATAAAGCGTTATCATTTAGCAGTTAGAAGCATTAAGTTGAAATACAATAAGCAATTAGCAAAATAATTGATATTGCAAAATGTAGTTGAAATCAAATAATAACAGACCCTAAAAAGGAGTAGATAACTGACCTACGGAACCGCCAACAGCGCCACCCACGGCTGCGCCGGCGGCGACACGAGCGAGGCAACTGTCTCTGGCCATTGCGAACTTCTGTGTCGTTCGGTTTAGACTTTAGAGAAAACTCTGAAACTAGACTAGTTTTTTTTTTTTTAAATACCAAACTCAGTTTTTAACTTTAATATCTCTTTTTTTTTAAATAAGTTCAGGTTGCATTAACTTTTATTATTTTGAAATGTTATTGATAAGACTTTAAAATAAGATTAATTTAATGATTTAATTTATCTATAATTTTAAATTAAATATTAAAATTTAAATAATAATTAAAATATTAAATTAATAAGTTAATAATATTTTAAGGATTAACAATCATTCGAAAGAGTCACTTAAAATATGTGAAATAAACTATTGTAACAAGACACGTGCTAAACTAATAACAAAAATAATTATAGGGTTAAAGTTTGAAAAATTATTTAGAAACTAAAACAGAAAGTTAATATATTTAAAAGCACTAAAAATATATTTTATATATTTTAGAGACTAATTGTTTTTTCTTTTTTTTAAACCACCAGTCTATTATTAATAATTATTAGTCTATTATTAATAATTGTTAGTGTTTTACACTATCCTCAAGGCTCGTAAAGAAAGTCCAATAATAAATATTGAGAAAGAAGACAACATAACAAGGGGACCTTCATCTTTTTTGATGACACTTGAATTCATTCACCGTTGAATTTAATCGAACAGTAACCTACACAATGTGTGAAATTACACGTGGACCGTTTTTACCGTTCATATTATATGAAGATTAAATTGTGTCATTCTAGGTATTCAATTTATTCTTACTATAAAATTAATTTTTGCTTATTCAATGATTTGGGCTTGGTGTGCTAACCTTGTAAGTCCATCACCTTTCTACTACATTAGAAGCTCAATCCACCGCATCAGAAGACTGACATGTCATATTTGAATTCCATTCCATCACTTCGTCACCTATCTCTAGTTCCTGAACGAAACGTTAATGTCGCATGTTTCTGCGTAACAAGATCTTGTTAATCCAAGAGTTGATTGAAGGATGTTCCAAGCCCTTTCGTATTTCCAACCTCTTCAATAGTTTTGTAAAGCCTAACCTTTACAACAACCTTCGTCACAACCATTATGCATGCAAGGAGCTTCTGACCTAGTGAACAATCTCTATAACATGGTATAGCAGCAAAACTCTCAAGTCTTGGCGGACTGGATACTCGGAATTTAAGAGAACCTATAGTGCGCTCCTTCTAGAACCAACATCATACGTCATGCTACTTTGTGCAACAACCGAGGATTGTTACAACAATTGTGACTTGAATCAAATGGATATGATTATGGAAATTTGCAAAAATCAAAAGTTGATTCCCGCATACGACGCCACTATTCTAGATTAGAACTAGAGAAGATCAGTGATATGATAAGGTAATGCTTTGCTGCAGTGAACTTGAGCTTTTGGTGCGGTGAAAAAGGCGCTAACCCAGAAGTCTAGCACTCCAACATGTATGTCAGTGAGAGAATAATGAGTAATGTATGAATAGGAATATGAATCGTACACTTTTTTTACGTGGGATACTTTGTGTATAAGAGTTGGTTGGGGTATCCAAGATCTAGATCTAATGTGGATGTTCTCTTATTAATCTTTTGACTAACTCATAATAGAAAACCTGTAGTCCTTTGACTAACCCATAAAAGATAACCTGAATAGTTTTCTTTTGAGATAATGAAAACATATATGGCCAAAGTTAGGACTTGGTGATCATGCATATAGACTTTAGTAACAAAAGGTTAATGATTCAATTTTAGTAACACCATGGAAAATTTATAAGACGACTTAGATTTTTTGATCACCGAAACAATATTAAAAACCAATTTCTCATTCTTATTTGAAGTTTCCTTTTTTTTTCATTTTGACTATGAGAGTCAATTTCAATTAAGATAAAAGAAGTTGAAGCTGAAAAAAAGTACAATAAGACAGAGGTTTGGAATGTGTGTCTTTTAAAATGATTTTTTTAATAAAATTTGGGCTTGTTTGTTTTAATTTTAAAAAAAATAGTTTTTTTTTTATTTTCAAATATAGATTTTATAAAATCGTTTTTTAAAATATTATAAAAAAATTTATATTTAATTTTCCTAAATTGAAAGATTAATTTTGACATCCTATAATATAAATATACATTATTTAAGATCAAAACGTAGTTGAAATCGCAATTTAAAAAAAATTGTATTTCAAAAATGATTTTTATGAAAAGCTATTTGAAATAGCTTCAAAATTAAGTGTTTTTTTTTGAAATTTTGATATCCAAAAAAAGTATCAACAAAATAATGAAATATCTAAAATAACATTTTAAGAATAACTATTCAAATTAAATTTTCATTCGAAGCTTTTATAAAAAGTTTCTTTGTAAATTTTTTTTTACACAAAATTATCACTACAAGAAATATGCTTTCTAACGACGTGATTTTGTAACGTGATTATCATATCACAAATATTTAGCAGTTGCGACGTGATAATCACGTCACTACGTTATTTTAACATTTAAATAATAAAAGTGAGGTTTGGTATGTGTCGGTCAGACCTTTTTTTTCGTATAAAAAAGTTGCGACATGAGAAACACATCACAACATAAAAAGTAGAATAAAAATATATAAAGCGTCAGGCGTTTTGAATGGAGAATTTTGAATTTTTCAAAAAAATTGATAACACGTCACAAATTTTTAAGAGGGAAAACGCTTGACTTTGACATGAAGTCATTCTGAAACGTACAAGTTGACTGAATAAAAAATATAACCGTTGTAGGAGTTGCGACGTGGATCTCACGTGGCAAGGTTGCAACGTGAAATTCATGTCACTGATTGATTGATGTTTAAATTATAACATTGGGGGTTGCAACATGAATCTCACGTGGCAAGGTTGCGACGTGAAATTCACGTCGTTGATTGGTTGATGTTGAATTAAATTATAACGTTGGGGGTTGCAACGTGAATCTCATGTGACAAGGTTGTTGCGTGAAATTCACGTTCCTGATTAGTTAATCAAGATATTCGCTCAATCTCCCTTTCCAGAAATCCATTTATATTTTCTTCTACTTTCTTTTCCTCTTTCTCTCTTATGTCTATCTTCTTACATTCCAATTCAACCTTGTTCTTCATAATAACATCCAAATTCAATTTTAAATTTCATTTGTAACAAAGATAAGTTGTCTAATATTTCTTCAATTTATTTTTAATATTTTCGTTTTAGGTTAATATTGTTTTGTCATGTTGATTTATGTTTTTTTTTTGTCAAGAAATTAAAGAGATTAGAAGGAAGATTGAACAAAAGGGTTGTACAAGAAATTAGAAGGAGATTAAAGAATATGTATTTATGTTGTTTAATTATATTTTGAATTTGATATATATGTATATATTAATTAGATTGTTGGTTGTTGTTTGAATTATATATATATATATATATATATATATATATATATATATATATATATATATATATATATATATATATATATATATATATATATATATATATATATATATATATATATATATATATATATATATATATATAAAATTTAGTTATAGTTACTATAGGTAAATGTTTATTTATAGTTAATAATAAGATAATGATTGTATATATGTGCAGTATGGAATATTATCGGTATGGTCGTAGTTGGATGTACGATAGATTGTATTCAGGAAGACGTGCACTTAAACCATATTTTATAGAAGGAGTTAATGAGTTTATTACGTGGATGTTTGCTCAGGAATATTGTCGAAGCGAATGAGAAGTTAGGTGTCCATGTCTTAAATGTGAATGTAGACCAATAATTAGTGATCCAGAGGAAGTAGCACGTCATTTCCATATAAGGAGTTTCATTGAAAATTATTGAGTTTGAGTGTATAATGGTGAAGAACTGTCAAGTAACGTATCAGAGACTAACAACATGCATTCTTCAAGTAGTCGACCGCCTATGGAATATGAGAAAAACTTTAATCTGATCGGTGAGATGGTTGAGGATGCTTTTGGTGTGAACGTGACATATAATCAACCTGAAGATTTTTACGGGAAAGAGATTCCAAATAAGGAAGCGCGAATATTTTATCAGTTGTTAAATGAGATGAATACGTTGTTGTTCGAGGGGTTATCAGACATTGCTTGCAAAAAAATTTATTCATCATCCCCAATATACTTCGGGAGAGGGAGAGTCGCTTCATCCAGATGTGGATTTTTATATTTAGGTTCAAGTCATTGGCGGAAAAGGCCCTAACAGTTGTTTTTTTGATGGTGCAAATTTGACGGGCACCTTGAGAAGTGGGGATACAACTCTATTTTAAAGAGTTAGAGATGGGGAAGGAGAGTCACGTCAACCAAATTTGACACCAGAACAATTTGAAATGGTAAGATGATTGACGTTAAATGAGACGAGACACGAGTCAGAGCAACGTGAGGCGGTAATGAAAGCCCAAATAGAGGCCAAAATGGAGGCAATGAGGCAAGATCAACAACGATAAATAGAGGTTATGGCAAAGAAGCAAGCTGATATGAAGCGACAAATGAGACAATTTATGCAAGGGTTTAGTGAAAATCAAAAATTTCATGGTCAAGAGCTGTAGGATGACGAAAACAGAGATAATTTTGACATTGACAATTATACCAATCAAGATGACCCGTAAAATTATTATTTTTTATTTTGCTTTCAAATTTGAATTTGTGTACCATACTAATTAATTAAATCTACTAATTAATTCTTAAATTTATAATTTTAGTTTATTAATTTTATATTATTAAATTTAATATATTAAATTTATTATATATTGAATTTATTGATTTATTTTATTATATATTGAATTAATTAATTAATTTAATTAATTATAAAAGAAAAACAAATTTCAGCAATTAAATTTAAAAAAAAATTATTAGTGACGTGTGTCACAAAGTTGTGACATGTAAATCACGTCGCAACTTAATTTATTCAAAGAAATAACAGTTGATTAAACGTGTATTGTAATAAACTAGTGACGTGAGATTTACGTCACAATTTAGTTACGTGAAAATC